TTGTTCCCATTTGCATAGTGAGATCCTGGTGAGGTGAATGCAGCAGAGAAGGCAGCAGCAGGATCTTCTTTGGAAACTTTTTTGATAGCTAGCATTTTGGAGGGTTGTTTGGCACCAGGTGGGTTTTCCCACACTCCAGAAGGGGTCCCAATAGGTCTGCATGGCTGATTCTGTTTGCCAGCTTCTGGATTCAAGGAAGGGAAGTCTTCCTCTTCAAACTGCAACTTTTCCACCTTGTCTTCTTTCCTTTCTTCCATAATCTCTGCAGGTGGCTTTTCCTGAAAGGCACAGCCTTTTCTGGAGTGAAAGCTCCCATTCCAGTGGCGATGGTTTCCTGCGCCACCCCCACTACGCTGGTTCATGCCATCATGACCACGGGAAGAGCCATGCCAACCAGATAGGTTTCCTGTGATTCCAGCATATGTTCCCTTAGAGACACCCGAGTCCACAGAATCATGGAGAAACAGGGAGGGCTGGTGCCAGGAATCTCCTGTAGTTCGTAGAAGTCTATTGTTAAAAAAGCCATCAGAGGAATTATGTTGATGACGGCTTACTCCAAATCTACCATCTCCTCGGGGTAGGTGCTCTCCGTGTTTTTCAAAGGTGGCTGTAGGTGACTAAGATGATAAAGAATAGGGAAACAAACAGTAAGTAGATGTGTCTTTCTTAGGTTTTGTAGTAGGCTTTTAGAAAACAAGAAATGACTGTGGCAGAAACTGCCATTATGAGAATACTAGTGTCCCAGTGCATGGATTCGTGCACACTGAAAGGAAATTAATTATAAGAAATACATATATGTGTGTATATATATATACATATATGTGTGTGTGTGTGTGTGTGTGTGTGTGTATATGTATATATATTTATATGTATATGTATTTATATATATATGTGTATATATATATACATATATGTGTGTGTGTGTGTGTGTGTGTGAATATAAGTATATGAAGGTGCAAATCAGTAGCTACCTTTTACTGAGTATCCACTGAATGCTAATTGCTCTTAACTGATTACTTCATTGAATCCTTTTATAACAACTCTATGGAGATAACAGATCATCCCTACCTACTATAAATCCAAACAAATAAAAGTTCTTTCTTTTTTT